ATCGTCCATACGGTGAAAAAGCTGGGACACTACTTCCAGGCCCATGCCGTCCATGTACTGACCCAGCAGCCCCTCGGTGCACTCATGAGGAGCCCCACTAGCTCCTCAAGGATGGTGAAATGGGCGATCTTCCTCAGCCAATTTCAGATTGAGATCAAGCCAAGGCCATCTCTCAAAGGGCAAGCCTTGGCCGACTTCGTCACCGAATGCACGGCAAGGGAGACAACCACTACCACCCCCCGGGCCAGAGCCCGATGACACATGGATCCTCTTCACCGACGGCTCGTCGGCCGCGAAATCATGTGGCGGCGGCATCGTCCTCATATCCCCTGAAGGATTCAGAGCTTACTATGCCATCAGTTTCAACTTCCGGGTATCCAATAATGAAGCCGAGTATGAGGCCCTCCTCAGCGGCCTCAGACTCGTTGTCGGCCTCAGAGCCCGACACATCAAAATCAGGTGCGACTCCAAGCTGGTAGTGGGCCAGGTTGAGGGTACGTACGAAGCAAAGGAAGGCCGGATGAAGCAATACAAACAGACGGCAGAGGAGTTGCTGAAGGCATTCGAAACCCACGAGATCACACAGATCCCAAGGGCCGAGAACGCCGAGGCCGACATCCTCTCCAAACTCAGCTCGGACACTCCGGAGCACATCTCCCAGTTATAAAATCCTTGTAAAGTTGTGTTGTCCAAGTCTCAATGTTGTTGAAGAAGAGACATCATAAAACTTGTGGCATCGGGGGGTGGGTCACTTTAGCGTGAAAGGACTGACAACTCTTGCTAAGAAATAATGTGTTTCCATTGGCAAAAATGGTTCCTTGGATGTATGCAAGTGTTGTTTACTCGGGAAACAATACAGGTTTTCCTTCAGTTCCACCAGAAAGAACCATTTCGAGTTACTCAGTCTTGTCCACTCCTATGTATGTGCACTCATTGAAGAGGAGTCATTTGAATTGAGGAAGCGGATATTTTGTGACATTCATTGATGATGCTTCACAAAGGTATGGGCTTACTGTTTAAAAAGTAAGGATCAAGTGTTTGATCATTTCAAATTATTTCATGCCAAGGGTAGAAAGAGAATCAAGAAAGAAGTTGAAGTAACTACGTTTAGAATATGGAGAAGAGTACACTTCCCGAAGATTCTCAATATATTGCGCTGCATATGAAATCAGACATGGGAAGACGGTTCCACGAACACCACAACACAATGGTGTGGCCGAAATAATGAACCATTGTAGAGGAAGTTTGTTGCATGTTCAGTATAACTAAACTACCTAAGTCATTCTGGGGTGAAGTTGTATAGACAACTTGTTATCTTATAAATAGGTCACCTTCGGTCCCTTTAAAATTTGAAGGTGACCTATTTATAAGATAACAAGCTATCACCACAGCTTCACCTCAGAATGTTTGGGTAATATACCCATTCTGAGCATGCAACAAATTTTCTGGACAATGGTTCGATTCACTATTTCCGCTACACCATTGTGTTGTGCGTTCTGGAATCGTCTTCTCATGTCTGATTACATATGCAGCGCAATATGCTGAGAATTGTCGGGAAGTGTACTCTCTTCCATTGTCTGAACGTAGCCACTTCAACTTTTTCCCTGTTTCTCTTTCTACCTTGGCATGAAATAATTTGAAACGATCAAACATTTGATCCTTACCTTTTAGACTGTAAACCCATACCTTTCGTGATGCATCATCAATGAATGGCACAAAATATCTACTTCTTCAAAGTGACTCCTCGTCAATGGGTCCACACTCCACATACATCAGATGGGTCAAGTTTGAGTAACTCTGAATGGTGTTTTCTGGTGCAACTGAAGGAAACTTGATGTTGTCTGCCGACGGTGCTTGCATGGATACAAGGCAACATTATTTCCAATGGAAATGCTTTCATTCTTAGCAAGAGTTGTCAGTCCTTTCACACTCAAGTGGCCCAACCTCTAATGCCACAAGTTTGGTGATGTCTCTTCTACAACAATATAGAGATTTGGATGACACAACTTTACATATGTTTTATAAATAGAACCACAAAGATGACCATTTGCAACCATCAAAGACCTTTAGATAACTTCCACATACCTTCTTTGGATTGATTTTCTATCCTTGATGATCTAGATCTATAACGGAGATAAGATTCAATCTGATATTCGGAACATGTCGAACACCTTCAACATAAGTGTGCATCCGATATTTGTTGTTATATGCACATCACTAATGCCAACGATCTTCGATAAACTGGACAACTGGTGTTTCCCATCTTCACAACTCCATAGTCTCCAAGTTTATAGACTGTGAATAGATTTTGGTGTGGGGTGACGTGAAATGATGCGGTTATAACCACCCACTCAACATTATACCTACGTGTAGACCTTCTTGTTCACCATGTGTAACAAGTAAGACGTCTGATGACACATTGACTATATTCTCAACATCTTCTAGGTTAGTATTCTGACGCGTCTGGGGCTTCTCTCGTAGAAATTTTCTACAATCTGACACGAGGGCATATGATTGATCAATTCCACTTTCTTTCTTCCATTTCTGCCTCCCCTCGTCGGTTGATTTCTAACACGAGGGCATATGATTGATCAATCTCGACTTCTTTTCTTTGGGCTTCTTCGTTCTTCAGGGCATGTGTGTCCATCTGCATAGTCACCTTGCAATTAGGAGCAGAATTACTTAGAGTGACAACAAGTGTCTCCTAGCTATCAGGTAGAGAGGTCAACATATCGCTTGTTTCTCATCTGGTGGTGCTAATTAGATCATGAGATCTTGGAATTGACTCGTGTCTTCAGACACCGAAATACCACATGTAACTTGTGGCTTACCGATCATCTCATTAGTAACGTCTAAAATCGAGCGGTTTTTGTTTGATACATGCTACCAAGTTTCTCTCATAGTGTGTAAGCACTATGATCGAACCATTGCCAAATTTGTGTTACCATGTTTTGTTCATTTTAGTCCATTCTTCATTCGTCTTCTCATCTGGTTTGACACCATTATTTTCGAGTGGATCGTTTAAATCCCTTAAATTTAGCAAAAAATAGTCCAAGATGCAGCTCAGTACAATCAGTTGACGTGTCGATATCTGGCACTGACGTGGCCCCACGTCGCTGATGGTGTGGCATGAAAGCTATGGCATGTGTATGATGTGGCAAATGATGTGGACGACGTGTTGTCGATAACACAGATGTTGCGGCCTTGCGTGTCGCCGAGGTGAACGACGTGTGGTGCTGACATGGTCATCTTCTACCTCCAACCTGAGCGTGCAGTGCGTGTTGTGAGTGACTCCTACTCTTCACCACGTGCGACTGCATCCGGGGGTAGCTGGAAATATTAGAATTTTCCTCTCGATGAGCTGAACCCGATGGTATGATCAGATCGTGATTCCGAGCAACTTCAAAAAACACAATTTTCTAACATGTAGATTTTTTCCCTTGAAAGTGTGAAAAAGTGTGAAAACTTAACCTTGCTCTGATACCACTTATTGGGATTGAAAATTTTTCTATGCGATACCAAGAACAGAATTACAATAGGAGGAGCAAACTCTCACACTCAATTACTACAAAAACTCAATCCTCATTGATACACTCTTTTTCTAAGTGTATATCACTCTAGAGTCTACACACACCTTTCTCACTTGTTGCTCTGATACAAATGAACAACAGAAATGCATTTGTACTCGGGCTGGGGCAAAATGGTTTTATTAACAGAATCGAACTCAACCAACCTGAAAATTGGTACTTTGGTTTGGTTTCGATTTACTTAAGTAAATTGTTTGGTAACAATGTGTGCTCAAACTGAATGGGTTTGGTTTGGTTTGGTTTAGTTTTAAACCGAAAAATCGTAAATTGAACCGAACACTGAACAACTTGTAATATCTATAAAATACTTTGTATTTGTCTTCACTCTTCATCTTTAGGATATAAATAAATAGTTTAGATATGAAAAACACATGTTTAACATATACTCCCCCCGTCCATAAAATTCTTCCAATTTTCTTTTTTGGGCCGTCCCAAAAAATTCTTCTCACTTACTATTTTTGGACAATTTGTGTGACTCACGTTCACTTTACCTTTTTCTTACACAATTACAACCATACATTTTCACTTTACTCTCACTTCTTTAATTTGCGATTCAGGTCAATGTGGGAAGTATTTATTGGGACGGAGGGAGTACCATTTTAACATTTACACATATCATACATTCATTATGATGAAGTTAGCTAATAAGACATACTACGTATTTGTATTTGTTATATTTTGTACTCTAACTTTATGAAAAGATGTTTGGCGATAAGAATAGCAAATTGTATTTACATGAATTTCAATTAAATTAGAGTACACTATACATTTTACATGATTCATTTGAATAAAATTGTGAATTTTACAACATTTTTTATCAACTAAACTTATTTTTTGTAAGCAGTCATTTTTTTCTAGTGGTTGAAAAGATGTTAAGACGTTTTTATGTCCGCTCTTAGTGGGTCTTGTCTTCTCAGATTCCAGCTTTTTAGTTTTATTAGAATTTCTTTAGCCGCATCGATAATCAGTCTTAGTAAGATAAATTATGTGTTAATTTATAATATTTTAGTATTTCTTTTTCTTTATTTTGTTTACCTTCACATTTTATTTATTTAATAAATACAAGAAGATGAGATGGACTAATATTTTCATTTTCGAATTCTAAAATATAGAGATCAAATAAAATAATAAACATATGAAACCGAATCAAATTGAACTAAATTGAATCTAATAATTTTCACTTTGATAAACTGAACTTGAAACTAAACCGAACTGAAATCAAACCGAAACACAAATGGTGTTAGTTTGATAAAATATCTCCCAAACCGAATAAATTGAGACTGAACCTAAACCAATAAAATCGAACCGTAAACTGAATTGCCCGTACCTAATTTACACAATTGCACTTACATACAATACTTATATTTTCAGTATTACTAAAAGACTAAAAGTTCTGGTGGTTGGTTATGACAGTGGCAATGCCGCCGGCGCCAGCACTATTCGAGAACACAGTGAGTTTGGTAAAAGGAGCTACAAAATCGTTCACGGCGTTACTTCTCTCACTGATGCGATCCGCACACTGGGACATAACCGCGGCCGTGAGATCTATCGAAGCCGCCTCATCTTCCGGCACAACCACTTCCACGGCAGCCGCGATCATCGGAACAAACCACGCGAAGTACGCATTGGAGTCGTACGTGAACCGGAAAATGTTCCAAGGGTTCGACCACGAGACATTCTACATGGACGGCAGCCTCTCATCCCTCCTCAACTCGGACCAGTACCGGCGGGAGTGTTTCACTCAGTACCGGGACATGAAGGCCATGGATCCAGGCGAGCTGTTGGGGATACTCCCGAATTGCAGCTTCGGGAACTTCTGCTTCAAGAAATATCTGGCCATAATCCACCCCAAAACAGAGGAGTCTCTGTTCGGAGATCTTGAGCAGAGGCGGCAGGTTCTGGCGGGAAACCACCCGAGGAGCCAGTTCTACGGGGAGTTTTTGGAGCTCGCGAAGGCGGTTTGGCTGCTGCATCTATTGGCGTTTTCTCTGGAACCGCCTCCGCCGAGTCAGTTCGAGGCGAGTAAGGGATCGGAGTTTCATCCGCAATTCATGGAAAGCGTGGTGAAGCATTCCTCTGGAGGGAGATTACTAAACGTGGGGTTAGTTGTTGGGTTTCCGGTGAGTCCTGGGTTTAAGCTTGCAAATGGGTCTGTTGTTAAGGCTAGAGTTTATCTGGTTCCCAGGTGAGGCTTAAATGAGGTCTTCTTAAGCTACCTAAATGTAATGGATGAAATTTTGAAGCATGATGGTGGCAACAATTTCAAATTCAATCGTACACTATCTTCCGTTCCATAAAAGCTGCAACAGTTTGACTTTCACGTTTGACAACGCGCAACTTTGAATGTAATTATATTTATTTACATATTAGTAAACATTAAAAAAAAGTTAATATATTGAAAATTTACATTAATACAAATTTATTAATATTTTATACATAATATTTTTATTATATATATTATTAGAAAATCGTAGTCAAAGTAAGGTGTGTGAATAGTGCAGAAATTCTAATGTTGCAACTTTTATGGAACGAAGGAAGTATGTCGGAAAGAGAAGTTTTTTTTTTTTTTTTTGAGCGCAAGGAAGAGAAGGTTTATTAAGGTTTATTATCCAAAAATGTCCAAATCATTCAAAATCTTTTAAGCATACTATGATTAAATCGATACCATTTCTTTGCCTAGAATCCTTCCAAGCTTAACTTATCAAGCCCTTTTAAATTCCAAGCTTAACTTTTCAAGCCTTTTAAAATTTACTCCCATCTCTCGAGAAGAGAAGAAGTCAATATGGAGCAATAATCCTATGGATCATTTACAATTAAGTGCTGCTAATGAGATTCATAGAAAGGAGGTACTATCCAACGGTCTCTTATAAGTAACAAGTACATTTTTTACAAGAATTAATTAATCCTAAAGTTTCCTACAATTTAGAATTCACATTTCACTGGCAAGAAAATGTGGCTATTAGTTTCCTATCTTTTGCTTGACACATCAGCTTTTTCTAATTAATTTATTTTCCACCAATATGATAGTTCAATGGTTACCCACGATGCTTATCTCTTGAATAGGCCTCACAAACCATCAATTTTGAAAACAAACATTTTGGATTAATTGATTTATTAATATAATAAAAATAATACTTATTTAGAAATATTTTCAAATTGGGAAAATGTAAATGGTATTTTTAAACCCATAAATTATCAATGTTATTATTATAACGAGCATAATTTGTAAATGCATTTTTTGAAAATTAGTACAAAAATATGTATTTTGTTAGGTAAAAAAATTAGGAATAAGAAATTTCAATAGCACATACATGATGAAAAATATCAACTTTAAACATTCATGAGAAAGTTAAACATTTTTTAAAATCAACAAAGCAAAAGCAGTAAATAAAATAAATATACTAAATTAAACAATATCAATCATTCAAATTTGGTAATCGCCATTTTAATTCAAACTTCTCTCCTTTCCAAGCAGTAGCTTGTTTTGGCTAACTTGCTTACCCAAGCTAGAAGGAAAGATGCACTCTAATGGTAAGCTAATAGTTGCAAAATTGCAAGCAAGCCCTTAAAAGCAACCATTGGAGATGATCTAATAGTCTAATCATGTGTGGATTTAGTGGGGAAAGACCCCTTGGAATTTCCAATCTTATACTCCCTCCATCCATTAAAACTTTGTCATCTTTTTTTTGGGGACGTTTCAAAAAACTTTGTCACTTTCTCTTTTAGTCAACTATTTTGTAATTCATGTTATTTCTCTTTCCTCTGCACAAATTTCAATCACACAGTTTTTACTTTATTATTCTCTGTGCCGATCAAACTTGACAAAGTTTTAAAGAACAGAGGTAGTATTATATATATTATATTTTCATGGAAAATTTGTCAATTTGATTCTCATACTGATGGAAAGTACCCGGGGGTAGCTTATCCAATGGGTTATTTCAGGGAACAACCTAGAGAGAAGTCAGAGCAATAAGTAAGAGAGGGAGTGTGTATTCGAATAGGAAAGTTGTGTGTCGATTACAATGGAAAGTGGCTGTTATTTATAGTAGCCATAAATGCTAGGCAGGGACACTCGCATGTGCATCGCATTAAATGCGGTGGTTGAATGTGACGTTGTACTTGACGCGGTGATTCGACGCATGTGGGAGAGCAGATCTTGTCGAGAAGAGCGCCTTCGACTGTATGTGCCGAATGCTCCATATACCGGGAGCATTATATTCTGAAGGTTGTATGTGTCGAAGGCTTGGTTCTCAAGCCTTGTTCTCCTGTGATGTTTATTGACCTGGTTTCATGAATGCAAAGCCTTCGGGCATGGGGCCGAAGGCACGCCTTTTGTATTATGAGCTGTCTGGAGTCATGTTCACTCGGCTTGGCCCATTTGGACTTGTTGGGCCTGATCGTAGTAGTGTAAGTATGTGGGTCGGGGGCTCCTGAGCCATATACTCCATCACATAGTATCACGAAAACAGTCAATTAAATCATCATACCTTAAAAAATTGTCCCCAAACTTTGAAATAGCGTTCAATTGAGCCAATTAGCAGGTTACATGTCATGCCAATAGGTCACCGGCTAACGTGATGCACACGTGGCGGTCAACATGTGCGCCATGTCAGCAAAGTTACAGTTGACTTTGCTAGCACATGTGTGTCACGTCAGCAGGTGACTTGTTGACGTGGCGAGTAACCTGTTAATGGACTCGATTAAACATTTTTTCAAAGTTTGGGGTTGGTTGATTTTTTTAAAAGTACAAGGACTTAATTGACGTTTTCGTGATAGTACAAGGAGCAAATTGATAGTTTTCGTTTTTCATAAAATTTTCATAATTAGATTTAGAGCTCGTTTGGTAACACAAAAATCGGCTGATCCTGCTGAAATTTATGAAGTTCTGGTTTAAGTGGTTGCATTGGTTGATTCTGCTGATTTATCAAAAAATTAAATTTAAAATATATTCTATTAATAAATAAAGAAAAAATTATATGTAAAAACAGCTAAAATGGTCCTCTACAGTAAATTCAGCCGAAACAGCCAGAAAAGTAACTACAACCTTACTTTTTCTTATTATTACACATTTTAGCGCGCGAAATCAAAAGTTACGTGTTTGGTGCAAAAGTTGGTTGATAAGTCGAATAACAGTGTTACCAAACGAGCTCTTATATTTGTTCGCCTCTATTAACTTTTAAGTTTTCAAAATTAATATATAGTGTTACATAATATAATATTTAATAGGAGATTTAAAAGAAGAAATGTCTAAAATAATGATCATTACTTGAAAACTATTATAGCGTTACTTGAATAAATAAACAATTGAACGACTCATTGATTTAAGACTCAGGATATTTATTATATAAAAATTTCTAGTTTTGTAATGTTTATCTTTATTAAATAAACTCGATTTTATAAAATATCAAACGAAATTAAATATCTGACAAACTAGTTAAACAAATTTTAGATAATGTGAACTGAATCCAAAATATAAATTGATGGAGTATATGGCCCGGGAACCCCCGGCCCACAGACTCCCACTACTCCAAACAAGGCCCAACAGGCCCAGAAGGCTCAACAGGCCCAAATTACGGCGCCCCAAGCACTTAGCAGCCACAGCGCACACTGGGGGGCCTTCGGCCCCCTGGCCGAAGGCTCAAAACTCTCACAAAATGGGTTTTCAAGCAAACTAAGAAACTGGGAGAAAAACGGCAGAAAACAGTAGCCCTCGGCACCTGGAGCCCTCGGCACCCAGGGGGTCCCCGGCACTCAGAGCCCTCGGTTAGTCCTCTGCAGCCGAGGGCACCTCTCCCGACATAATATCCGCGCCACATGCGTACAGATCACTGTACCCTGTACAACGTCCCATCCAACAGCCGCATTAAATGCGGCCACATGCGACTGCCAGCGCCAACCAGTTGATGTGACCTCTCGGCCAATGGGCGCTTGACACGTGTCCCTGTCCGGCATTTATTGCTACTATAAATAGCATCCCATTTCCCCATTTGTAACCAAGTGATAAAAAACGCTGCATACTTTCTGCATACACTTTCTCTCTCTATACTTACTTGCTCTGACTTCTCTCTTGTCATTCCCCGCGATAACCCCCCGGATAAGCTACCCCCCGGGTACACTATCCATCATTTGGTGCTCTCGTTGAGAGGTCGAACGATCAATTAAGAAACTCTCCCCCTTTGCCAAACACTAGCCCTCTACCAAAATGGTGAGAACAACACGTGCCAACTCCAAAAACGTAGAAGACAAGAACCTGGCCCTCGGCAACGTCAGTGCCCCCGAAGCCTCTCACAGGGCTCCCGAGGGCGGTGTCATAGCTGGGCTGGAACAGGCGGCTGTCGACCTACGCCTTCAGATCCAGCAAAATGCCCCCGATGCCCGCCTCGGCATCGTGGCCAAGAAGAAAAACCGGAGTGATGACCAAGTCAGCCCTCCGGTCCTCACCATCGACGTTCATTCGGCGCTCTCCGCCTTCATCCAAACGCTAACTCAGAACCCGGGTGCCTTCGGCACCCTGGCTCCGGCTCCACCCCAGGTTGGGGAGAACATCATGCTTCCCCCTCTGCCACACCCCTTCGGAAATCCCATCCCTCGGATT